ACATAGGAACCGATAGAGATCTCTGCGACAGTAACAGTACAGTACAGTAACAGTAAATTGCTATGGATGCCACGAATACAGTTCGCAAATAGGACAAGTATTCATTCAGTAAGAAATATCATTTCAGAAAGCAGTACAGTTAATCATTCAGAAAATATTCATGATTGAATATATCTTTACAACATTGTTACTCACGGAGTTCTGGGTTACAGATAGGCTAGTGAGCGTCCTCGGATGCCAACCCTACACAGTTACAGAATGAACACACACTAAATTACACACTTGGGAGACAATCACTTAGTCCCTATCTTGACTCGGTGTGGTTCTATAGCATTATCCTCATCAAGATGCCTTAAACTAGGCCTAGGAATGCCTAGGATGGAATGAGGATGTAAAGATACACTTTAAAACACTTTTTAGAATTTTCAGAAAACAAGGGTCTCGCTCGAGCATGGCTTTCTACGCTCGAGCGGACATGCAGACAAAGGAGCTACGCTCGAGCGTGACTTTCCTCGCTCGAGCGGACTGAAAAAGTACTAGATGCACGAAATTCACACTCGACGGGCGCTCAACCCCCGCTCGAGCGTGAGACACAAGTCCTCGCTCGAGCGTGCATTCCCTCACTCGAGCGGACTGTAAACACATGCAAAGTACTGGATACACGCATTTCACGCTCAAGCGTTACTTTCCTCGCTCGAGCGGACTGCATGAACTCAAAGTATACACTCGAGCATGGAGTTCCCCGCTCGAGTGTGGATCCAAAATCTGGAATTTCCAGATTTGTCTCCAAGCATGAAACTCAACATTTAAAGCATCAAATTCGATCATTTTGGGTTAATTTTCTGGAAAACACTTTAAAACTCATAATATGGCATGTTTCAAAGATCAATTTGCAAAATCAAAGCCCAAAGGTAGTTCAATTAAAACACAATTTCAACAAAACTTCAAGAACATGATGAACATGCAACATGCATGTGTTCAAATGAAATCAAAACTTCCAATACATAATCAAATGAGTCAAAACTTCCAAAAACATGATGAATTCATGGACTATAATCAAGATATGGACATGCATGTAGCAATTTCTATGAAAACAACCTCAAAATGCTAGAACATGTACATGCATGCATGATTTAAGCTTCAATTCAACATTTTAAGCTAATTCATGCCTTAAATCACTATCCTTACCATGAATCATGCAAGAACAACTTAAATACAAGTTTCAAGAGGATGATTCTCCTACCTTAGGTTCTCAATTTCAAGTCTAGAACCTCAAATTTGCTATCTACTCTTTAATCCTTCCAAAATCAAACAAGAAATCTAGATGGACTCAATTTTCTCCTACCTCTCTCTCTCTCTCTCTCTCGATTTTGTCTCCAAAATGGCTAAAGATATAATGCCAAATGTGTATTAATCAAGTCCAAACAAGTATTGACAAGGTGGCCCACTAACATAGCAAAAGGGTAATTAACGCAACTAATGTAATTCAATATTATTTAATCCAATTTAATCATACCGAATCACATTTCAATTAAATCTACCATAAAATCACATAAATTCTAATTAACATAAAACACTAATCAGTTTCGAATTCGGCCGCTGATAAGGCCTTCAATTTACAGTTCGAAGCTTAAAACATGAACAGATAATTCAATGACAAACAGATAGAAATGTATTTAACATAACACATTCATGCAATCAGTTTAGGATTTCATCCTAATCAGTTACTTATCATGTTCAGTCACAGTTTAACAGTAATCAGTGGTAAGGGTTGTCACAAATATACACAAAATGTTTACTAATATAAATAATTTAAATTATTAAAATGAGACCAATGACACTCGTATAGCTGAACAACGTCTTAAAGGCCCCGTTTGGTAGAACTGTGGGAAAGTGATTATGGCCCTGTTTGGTAGAGCTGTGGGAAAGTGCTTATAGCTTATGCCTTAACAGCTTATACCTTATAACTATGAACATAAGCTGATTTCTGACTTATAAATTAAGCATCTCCTGCCCCACTCAAAGAATAAGCTGATTTCTGATTTACAAAAAGCTATAAGCTGCATTGTTAAGCTAAACCAAACACATCAAAATAGCTTAAATTAAGCTAAAAGCTGAAATAAGCAGCTTTTAAGCTGCACCAAATAGGCACTATAACTTATAGCCTAACAGCTTATAGCTTATAACGGTGAACATAAACTGATTTTTGACTTATAAATTAAGCTTCTCCTCCCCTACTCAAAAAATAAGTTGATTTTTGACTTACAAAAAGCTATAAATTGTATTATTAAACTGAACCAAACACATCAAAATAGTTTAAATTAAACTAAAAACTAAAATAAGCTGGAAATAAGCCCTACCAAACAGGGCCAAACTGGAAGGAATCCGCTCCACCTCCTTCAAAGAAAATTTAAATCACAAAACTAACTATACAGTATATATATATCGATGAAGAAGAGACAACTAAAAATGTAATACAGTAGAACCGCACTGAGGTAAGTGTTGTGACTATTCTATTATAATTAATATTATTTTTTGGGTGGGTAATTATAATTAATATTATGATATTATCATCACTAACATTAATTAAGAGTTCAACTCTTAATCTCGAAAATCTTGAGACTCTAAATTTATTCCTAGAATTGTTACATATCTCAGCTATCATATTAAATTATTGACTATCAATTTAATTAAAAATTTAAACAATTAACGGGATAAATAATTTTATTATTTATATTATACCCTCAACAACTCAAAATATTAGAATACATCAAGATAATAATAATTAAGGAAAAAAAAAAAACATCTCTCCACTAAACTGTTCAAGATTCTATAAATAGGCTTGAGACTTATGATATTTTGTTTAAAAAGAATATTTATCAGGTAAATTATACTTTTCACTTTTGTGGTTTTACTCAAATTTTATTTTGATCTTTATTGTTTTAAATTCAACAATTTGATCCGTACATTTATAGTCTAATTTCAATTTAGTCATTCCATTTAAGTTAGAGATTAAAATTAACGATTTTTTGACACTTGTCAATTTCTTAAGGTGTACACGTAGAAAACAATTAACAAAAATTTGGACGAAAAAATCAAATTAAAACTAGACTTAAAGTGTAAGGACCAAATTATTTAATTTAAAATAATATAGACCAAAATAAAATTTCAATTAAACTATAAGGATAAAATGTATATTTTATCCATATTTGTCAATATATTCCGTCTTGCATAGTGGTGTTTGGGAAGGAAATTTTTTTATTTTTTTCACTAAAAGACAAATTGGTTACAAAACTAAAAAAAATAAATCTAAACAAAATATCACATCAAACCCTATAATTATTTCACTTTTTCTCTTATAAACATCACATCTAACCACAAAAAAACTCAATTATCTTCCCAAATACGAAAAAAAATTCTTTAATAATATCTTACAACTAAAAAAACCTACAAAAAAACCCACTTTCCAAACACCCACGTGTTTCTTTAAATTCAAAGCAAAATCGTGTAGTCCATAGTGCAAGAGATGAGGATACATGAACAATTTATACATGCTTTGCATACATAAAATATCTATACTATTATATATTTACGTGTAGACTATCACACTTTTTACTTTTTTTAAAAATATCCCAAAACTTAATAATTTCTCTAAAATACTTTAATTCTCTCAAATCCAACCGTTTCAAATAATTACCATAATTATCAGATTCAATTGTTTCTCTAATTCATGTATAAGACACGAATTGAGATTAAAACCATTTTATATATATTGAAGAAGAGAGGATTGGATAGACAAAATTGTAATGGAGTGATGTTGGACATTTGTCTCTTAAGAAGGAAGGAAAGAAGTTGGTTGAAGGATCACACTAGAGCTAGTAGGCACCATAGTGGGGGATTATCTGAAACCCTAGTTACCAAAAACAATGCACTCTCATGATAAGTCAACCCATATGCAAAGGTGAGATAGAACGCATTGTACTATTTATCTACCTCAAACCCACAAACAGATGTTGAGATATTGATTCAATTTCAATACAAGCATTTTGTGCTTTGGTTGAGGAGGTGGTGTTGGGATAAGACCATTCCACGTTATTATTATTATTACATCAAATTGATGCACTTGTCACTTGTGTGCCTATCAAGTGCGCTCCACTAGCCTAGGGCTACCTAAGCTCACAGAATTGTAATGGAATTCATCCATGTTGTGGTTGCGTTTTAAATTTAATTTTGATTATGTTTAGTACTAATTGGAGATTTGTATGACCTAATTAATGGGCATACATTACAACATATAAGAATTTTAGAGAATAATTTTTTCAATCTTTAAAAATGAAAATTTTGTTGTAAAAAACATTTACGGACTAATTTTTATCGTCGTGAAGATAACCACTAAAATCTCGTCCCAAAAAGTCAAAAATAAGACTTTTAACGACAAATTTTTGAAAATATCACTAATAAATACACAAAATAATTGGTCACAAAAAAGTTTATTTTTTGAGACAAAATTTGGTCCCAAAAATATAATAATTCATAACTAATTTTCAATTTTTGTTGCTAAAAATATGATGACACTTTTCACAACAAAAATATTTAGTCTCTAAAAAATAATTTTATCCCTAAATTTTAGTCTTTAAAACCGTAATTTTTATTGTAGTGATACATGTAACATGTAAAGTTAATATACATTATTTGAAACTTATATTTATGTAGAAGTTTAAATCCATAAATGAAGAGTCTATTCAATATATATAAAAATCCATTTTATTTACTATTTATCTATGAGACTCCCTACCTTCACATGTACTCTAACAATTTTGACTCAATTTGCTACATTTTAAATTCTTGTATGACTGAGTTATTTTGAGATTATAATATTTTATGGTATTGAGAACTTTTATGATAAAAAGTTATGTTACAAGAACTAGCTCATTATATTATTTATATTCAGAGTAAAACTTCTTTGCCATTCATGATCATAGACTATAGCCTAATCACGTATATCTTTTATACTTGTGTTCTTGGCTTGTTCTATATTTTCTCAATTTCTATTTTTCCCTTAGCAATTCATGTTGAGATAAAAACACATACAAAACATGGTATTTTATATTATCTTTTTGGGATGTCCGTACCCACTTCCTTATATCTCATGGGATAGTTGTGTATATATATATAATTGGTTCCTCTCCAAATCCCCAAATCAACTTCCTTTCACGAAGGTGATACTCAGTCCAAGCAAAGAAAAGAAAAAGAGTAGAAAGAAACGTCAAACCATGGGTTCAACTGTGATAACTATTCCAAATGAAGATGATCAGATCAGTCTTGGCCAAAAGAAGAAACCTCAGTTTGCTTTTGTTTCTTTTGTTTCTTCTCTTATAGCAAAGCAAAGCAAGCATGACATGAGAAGAGTCATTCACAGTATCAAAGTTGGAATTGCCTTAGTCTTGGTTTCTCTTCTCTACCTCCTTGATCCACTCTACAACCAATTTGGGGATGACATGAATGCCATGTGGGCTATCATGACTGTTGTGGTCATCTTTGAGTTCTCTGCAGGTTTGTTGCTTTCTACATTTTAAGCAGTTATATATGTGTGTGTATTTTGAAAACATTTTTTTATGTGTTTTGATGATAATATATGTGTGTATTCAGGTGCTACACTTGGCAAGGGTTTGAATCGAGGGATTGGAACAGTATTAGGCGGCGGTCTGGGATGTTTGACAGCAATTTTGGGTGATGTAGTTGGTGGGACTGGCAATGCCACTGTCGTGGGCATTTCTGTTTTTGTTTTTGGTAAGGATAAGCACATGTCAATAACATGGTCATTTTCTCCTAAGGCGGCAAACGAATCAAGTTGAGTCAAGTTTTGAAATGTTTGAGCACGGTTCACTGAAAATTAGTGGAGCCAAGCTCAAGTTGAGCTTAAAATCTCAAGATCAAGTTTAGCTCGTCAAGTATTTGAGAAAAAAGCTCAAGTCAATTGAATTATATAGATGAGCTTATCTTGAACTCGATTACTAAACGAGTTTAAAAATAAATTAATAAAAATACGTAAATTTACACAAACAAATACCAAACATAAACAAAGACATATAATCAATTAATAAAATACATTATTAAAAATAAATATTAATTTATATATTCTTGTGTGTCTGTTTCAACCAAACTTGGTCTATTCGAGCCCAACTCGATTTAAATAAGTTTAAAATTTTAACTTGAGTTCATTCATTTAGCAAACGAGCCAAAATCAAACTATTTGAGCTCGAATATTTATGAACAAATCGGTTCGTTACTTCCCTAGCTATTAATAAACTTTATACAAAATAGACTTTTCCTAGCATGTTTTGCATAACGCCTATATTTTGCGTCACTAAAATCCATCTCAAGGCTCTCTTTTTTGTCTTTTTTCTTTTTTCCTTTTTTTGAATTTAAAGGTCCTAACAGGTTGTGCAAGCAAAACATTATCATCTATGTCATGGATCATTACTATTGAGATCAATATGTCCAAATAACACAATTTTTTTATCATGAATAGGTGCGGCTGCAACGTACACTCGAATGGTTCCAAGCATCAAGAGGAGATATGACTATGGAGCTATGATTTTCATCCTTACCTTCAATCTGGTAGCGGTGTCTGGTTTGCGCGCGGACAAGGTCATTGAACTGGCCCAGCAACGTCTCTCAACCATCGGCATGGGCTTCACTGTCTGCATCTTCACAAGCTTACTTATTTGTCCCATGTGGGCTAGTGATGAACTTCATAACTCTACAGCCTCCAAGTTCCAAAAGCTTGCTTCCTGTATTCAAGGTATAACAATTGAACAAAACAACAATAATGCGCATAACAACCATCTCAATTTTTCATGCTTTATGATAGAATTCTTCCGTAAAATCAAACATCAAAAAATATTTGAATTTATTTTTTAGCTTATCTATAAGCTTTTGTTTTTTTATTCTTTTTTGGTGAACTAATCAAAAAGATTGAAATGCTTTTGTGTGATCAATGTAGGAAGCTTGGAGGAGTACTTCGGAGTAGTCAATGAGAAGGAAAAACAGCCCGGTGCCAATTTTGCCGATTGCAAATCAGTGATACACTCCAAGTCGAGCGATGAGTCTCTGGTATATTTCTGTCAACTTACTAATAGAAAATATTTTGTAAAAGGAAATTAACTACTTTTCCATTCAATTGGAGAAAATTCCAATGACATTAACCTTTTTTTGATCTGCTTTCCTTCTCATTTTCTCGGGAAAATTCAGTAGCTTACATGCATGGATCAAAATCTCTGTACTATTTCAGGCAAATTTTGCAAGATGGGAACCATGGCATGGAAAATTTGGGTTCTCATATCCCTGGGATAAATACCTACAAATCGGAGATGTTCTTCGAGACCTTGCTGCTACCATTATTTCACTTAAAGGGTGTCTTCAATCTCCTAGACAGGTCCGGAATTCATACTCTTTCTCTTGGTTTTATTTACTTTTAGACCCGCCTCGAATAGATAATCCTAAAAATTTGAAAAGAGAAAAAAAATTATTAGACAAAAATAAGCCAGTTTTTGGAAGTGTTTTTTTAATTAGATATATATATATATATATAATTTAGCCTATTTTCATTTTTAATTCTAAAAATTAAAAAGAATTCACTCAAAATTTAGAGAATCCTATGTATGATTCCCATTCCGAATGGTACCAATATTGTTAGCTAGGCCCACACAGCTTTAAAATGCATTATCACTAGAAAGGGATGTAGTAGATATGTAGCCCATAAACTTTTTCTACCTAAACGACGTGAGACAGGATGTTACAATTTTTATTGACATTTGCTCCAATCGTGTGTGATCAGCCTTCATCAAATCCGCGACAGTCGATCAAGGAACCGTGTGAAGCAGTTGGCTCGTTGCTCGCGTGGATTCTTGGAGAGCTCGGAGAGAGCATTATAAAAATGGAAAAATGCCGGCCTAAATCCTTAATGGCATCAAAATTGCAGTCGATGAGAGCAGAGCTTAGCCTACTCGCTTCTCCTTCCAAGCTAGGAGCACCGGAGAATGGTGAAGGACTTGCTATGGCTAGTTTTGTGTTCTTGTTGATGGAGATAGTAGAAAAAATGGAAGTATTGGCAAAAGAGGTCGAAGAACTCGGTGAACTTGCTGATTTTCAAACTAGATAGATGGCAGTTTTGATTGAGATGTGAGCATTTGATGCCGTATACATCCATCAGAGCCAATTTTTTGGCCCTTCTAAAAAAGATTTAAAAAATTTATTATTGAGGGGGAGGAGATCATATGGCCCCAAAGCGGGGGTGGTTACTATGCTACTGTATGATGATAACAAAATATGGGATTATATGTATGTTTACTGATTTATATAAATTAAACTGAGGGATGCTAGTTTTCATTTCAAGGCTGTGGGCTGTTCTAATTTCATTTTTGGACCCCCCCTAAAAAAGTGATTTAAAAATTTAAAAAACAATTAAAAAGTGTTAAGCATTTGCAATGTGTCTGCCATGAATTCTTTCAATTAGACACTTGCTAAAATTCATTAATGTCATCAAATAATTTCAAGTTTATAATAATAAGAAATCCATTAAGAATATGATAATCCCCAACTCTAGCGGGTTTCTTTCTTTACAACCAGACTATACCCTGTCCCATCATATTTCAAACCAAAGAAAGGAAATCTTCTTAAATTCGAATTGCATAGTGAGTCTTCTTTCTACTCAATTTATTCCAATAACCCAAAAGGAAAGACCGAGAAAGATTGTAGTTGAACATTGTTTCTCTTGTGATTTGTAACTTGGTTATTTCAAAACCAGGGACAGTAATCTGCTATAATATTTGAAAATTCTAGATTAGTGTTGGAAGAAGAATTCAAACTCTACTACCTAAATGTAGAAGAGTTGCGAAGTTACCAATATACCCATGAATATCAGCTTGGATACTAAGAACAACATTTGAAAGAAGGGTGTTTGTGGAAGAAAATTTTGAGCTGGTTTAACTCCTCCCTTTGGACCCTTTCTCATTAAAATAGAGACAACAATAATTATCATGATTTAAAATTTGGCCCACATAGACCAAGAAGACACAAAACAATAAAATATAAAATGGAACATTTCAAACTTCAAAAGATAACAAATCAAAAGGACAAAACAATTCATAGTGGCAATGTCAAAAGCCACGGTAAACCAATAGGACCTTCCTAAAAGTTCATAAATCAAAAAGAGATAGGAGACGAGGAAAGGAAGAGAAACAGAGAGATATGGCTTTCCATCCGAAGATCAAAGTGTTCATAACTATATTGTTGATTGGATTGTTTGAGCTACCTATCGTTGTGAGAAGCGTTCCAAACACAAACGTGTCATCGGTTTTGTGCAATTCCGGGGTCTACTCACAAGGCGATCCTTTCGCTATCAGTCTAGCCTATGTTCTATCAGAATTAGAGGCAGTTACGCCATCTCGCCAAGGTTATGATTTTCACAACATTTCTCCATATCCGAATGCTTTTGCATATGGTCATGCTGCTTGTAACATGAACCTTACAAGTCCAGACTGTGGCACGTGTCTTGGGGCTGCTAAGAAGACCATGTTTGGGACTTGTGATAGTCGGATCGGGGCTCGGTCCGTGCTCATTGATTGTACAATTAGGTATGAGCAGTACCCATTTGATGACTAAATTGTTAGCACACACTGAGAAGCAGTTGAAATATTTTTGTTTCTGATAAGTGTGTAATCTACCACAAAAGTACTGATAAGCAACCTTATCCACTCTGATATTTTCATTCCTATTTTTAATGATAGGGTTTTCACCTTTCACTTTTAATTCCTATTTTTAATAATAGGGTTTTCATTCCCCTACTGTTCTATGCATTTCGAATAGCAAATTGTTTTTTTTTCTAAAATAGTGAATCATGAATCATACTGAATCATGAATAATGAATCTACTTTATTTAGCATAATATATAAATTTATATATATATATATATATACATATAAAAAAACACACTGTTTTTAAATGAAATCAACATCAATTGACTAAGTCGTATATATGTATATATAATTAATTGATCTTTTTCTTTTCTTTTCTTTCTTTTTTTTTTTTTTTTTGGTGTGTGTGTTTCATTTCTTTTTTGTTCTTCTTTTCTTCTTTTTTTTTTCTTTTTTTTTTTTTTTTTTTTTTTTTTTTGGTGTGTGTGTGTGAAAGCAAAGATGTTTCATATATTATGCAAACATACTGAATCGCAGTGAATTATGGCGAATCGTAGTGAATCGCAAATCAAATCATTTTGCTTGTAATTCATATTCAATCATATGAATCGAATTATGAATTGCAAAATTCTAAGAACTTGTATGCTTGATGGTGATTTTGTATGATGGTGCACAGTTTATTGTACTGAAATCAGAACATTGACCAGGTCAAGGGAATTAGGGTTTGCTAAATATGTCCAAACAAATGAATCAAAATGAAAAAATGTTGCATAAAGAAAGAAATTAGATGTTTCAAACCAACCATTGATGCTGAGATGAAAATGGTTTCATGACATACCTTTGCTATTATTTATCAGTAATTTTTCAATGGATCCAAATTTCCATTTCAGCTACTGAACATGAATCCGCAGCGATAAATCTGCAAGATTAAAGCAAATCAAATCAATAATGAAGACAATCAAACTTGGAGTAAGCAAAATATTAATGAATCAATGCTTATGTGCCAAGTACAAAACCTAGTAACATTGCCCAAAGAACATGGCATATATTTCTACTGCAATCCCTCATTGCAGTAGTCAGATCCAGGGGCAAAGAGATTTGATTAGTTGAGTTTTTACCACCATTTGCAACGTAAGTCTATGTTATATGGATTTGAAGGCAGGGTCTTTTTTGGACCCACCCCTGCAAAGTAAAACTCAAAAGATACGCGAGCACCCACACAGGCATATATCAGGCAAAGTTGAGGAGGCTCAAACTTGGTGCTTGCTGCTTCATTGGCAGAAGTTGTTGGCTCCATCCACTACCCACATGGTAATGAGCCCACCATTCATAGTGTAGGTAGCACCATGTTGTAAAAGAAGGTGGTGGAGGGCTACACCAACTCACTAAAGGAAGATAGTGAGGGTGGCACTACCTTGGCCAATTATGGCTAGCACTTCACCTACTCCTCCTCTCTTGGTTATAAATTGAGATAAGTGAGGGGAGGTTTGAATCATCAGAAATTGAGAGTGAGAGCTGTGAGTTGAGTGAGTTTCATCTCCTCCTCTGTAATTGTATTTTTGCTCCATTTTAGTTAGAGACATTTTGCAACCTCTCAAAAGATGCATGGAAAGGAGGGATGCAATCTCGAGTCGCAAAGTGAGCGTTGCAATGCACTCCAATAAGGGGGTGCGAGCACTATGCACGGAGTTGCATAGTGATAACTTGTACAGACCGATGGAAGTTGTCTTGGCAGAAGGGCTAACTGTCAAACATCAGTACGGACGTACAAGTGAGACTGAACCGAACATCAGGGATTGCAGCACAGACAACGGGCGTATGAGATCGCTGGGAAGTTGTTCGAAAGTGCAGAAAGCAAAGGCTGGTTGTTCAGAAATAAGCTTCGAGCAAGGAAAATTGAGGATGTTGATGTGTCACACTCTGAAGTTTTCTAGTTGCTCCCGTGTTCATCATGCAAGGAGTTGCACGGTAATGCAAGGGTATCCCGAGCAGGGGGTACAGGGCATCCAATCAGGGGGAGCTGTGTCTTGGCAGTCCAAGCTGAGAAGTCAGTTGTCCATGTGGGCGTGGAGGGGGAGAATTGTTGGCTCCATCCACTACCCACATGGTAATGAGCCCACCATTCATAGTGTAGGTAGCACCATGTTGTAAAAGAAGGTGATGGAGGGCTACACCAACTCACTAAAGGAAGATAGTGAGGGTGGCACTACCTTGGCCAATTATGGCTAGCACTTCACCTACTCCTCCTCTCTTGGTTATAATTTGAGATAAGTGAGGAGAGGTTTGAATCATCAGAAATTGAGAGTGAGAGCTGTGAGTTGAGTGAGTTTCATCTCCTCCTCTGTAATTGTATTTTTGCTCCATTTTAGTGAAAATTCTCTTTTCTGTCCGTGGATGTAGGCATTGGGCCGAACCACGTAAATATTGTGTTCTCTGTGTGTGTGAGATATTTTTCTGGGTGTGTTTGATCCTAACAGAAGTCACGCCGCTGAGCTACACGCCATGGGGTTTATAGTTCTCCTATGTTACATGGATTTGGTTATGAATATTGGGTGTATCTATTTATCAAAGTGTTGAATTCATATAATTCTAATATTTATGGTTACCAGTAGACTAGATTTCATATTTTGAAACATTAATTTTTATTTTATTAGGATTAAATTGGGATTTACAATCTAATATAGAACTTGTTATGCATAAAATGAAAGTCTTATGCATAGTTATATTGTAAATTCAACTATTTGTAATATTAGGTGCATGTCATGCGGAACACATATATCATAGCCCTTCATGGAGATCAGAAATTCATTGGATGATAACACCGTGGTTTCTATTTCGACTAGTTCTTCTTCTTAGGTTCTTTGGTGCTCTACATCTTTCTTATATTTTTTGGGTACATCGGAAATTCAAAGAAAAAAAAAGAGGCAAATGTAATTCACGCCAAAAAAAAAAAAAATTAAAAAAAGACCCTCTCATGGAAACAATCATCATGCTTTATCACATATGCAGACAAAAAGAACAAATGGCAATCAATTCAACCTTTCTTCATATATACAAAAGTACAATCAACAATGTCAAGAAATGCTTTGCATATCTGACTATATCCCCTATATGAATGATAGTAACAAGAAGAATCAGATACTTTTGTGTATATCTCCTTTCAACTGTGGAATTTGCTTCAGAAATCCAACACTATCTACTGAAAGTTGTATAGTCTATACAGAATCTATTGCCAGCATCCACAACCACTGAAAATCTACTGCCACGAATTTCTCCACCATCCTGACTATTGTATTAGAGCAGACTGCATCGTTGTCCAAAAGGGCATTTCCGGTATTTCACAAGTAGCGCAAGTTTACTCTCCCTTACGGGAATAACTGCAATATGATGTACCAAATAAGACTTGTTCTTTGATAAGTTCACTTCTCTTTTTAGGCGTTGGATAGCTATGCCTTACTTTACCTTATCCCCTCTTTAACGCAATGGAAGAGAAATCGATGGTGCTAGTTTTAGTGATGTGCATAACTTATGTGATTGTGCTCCCACTTGAGGAAGTTCACATAGAGAAGCTCGTTCCACGAATCAGGGACACCTGGCAGGCACCAGTGGCTGCAGTCTTGGCGGTGGAGAGGGGCCAGTCCGATCTTGGGCCCTAAATAATACAAAGACAAGTGGCCATCTTTTCGCCTTGAAGTCATATATGTCACGTTCAAAAAATCAATTTTCTTCACTTGTGACTTGTTTGAGTGTTCTGTTAACACATCAATGACAGTCTTGAAGTGACCCCACGTTTGTGGTGAAACAGGTAATGAACCCAAGTCAGGCAATGTCTCCCGGTGACAGTTACCGCCAGTCTTCCAGTTGCCGCTCCTGTTAAATCCAGTGAATTTATCATTTGTTGCATTGTATAATAACAAAACAAGACGATTTCATGAGGAATTGACCCTATTAACAGAATAAGTACTTTTTAACAGTTTGAAAACCACATTGAACGGGTACAATCAAGTTAGAGAAAGTTGACAAAAAACACAAAAAAACAAGAAGTTAGAAAACAATTTTTGAAAACCAAACCAAACAGACCTTTTCTTTGGTAGAGCAAACAAAGAACCAAGGTAATAGCAACAAGTTCAATTTATTGATTGTTGATTAACAGTGTTTTCCCACTAGGCGTACGTAGAAAGATTCATCTTGCTGTGGTAATCAAGGATATGAGTAAATGTATAATTAATTTTAAATTGTCTAAATAGGATAGATTTCATTAATCATCCATTAAAGATACATTTCACAGAACCAAAACTGCATTTGGTATTGTTCATGGTAAAATGATCAAGCTCAACTTCTCCTTTTCTTAGTCACTTTCCAAGTTAGCTTTTGTTATGATGGAACAAATGAAAACAAGTAAAATTGAGCAATCACACAAGAACACAAAGATGGTCACAAGCCTACATCCATAGGCAAAAAATAACAGAGCGTTTTACTATCAAAAGAGGAGAAAATACAAGGAGAAGCAATCTCTCTCAAAATCGTCCGTAACAAGAATTCTCTCAACTCACATTACCCTAATCCTTGAAAATAACCCATGATATATACTAAGATGCAAATCCAACAAGAATTGGATCAGACCTAGACCTCACTATTTGCCCACTAATCTAGTCGTGCAGATCAACACATGCACAAATCGGGTAGAACACAAGACACTCGCAACACCTTTTATAAAAAAATCAAGGAACTGCTTCCCAAACAAGGGTTATACTGGAAAAAAAAGGAACTTAAATAGTTGAGATGTGAATTGATGGAATAGTAATATCTCGTTAAACTTTTAGCATTTCCTGTTAGGCCAATCTTTGTACGGTGTAAAGTGTAGTAAAAATTATTGGAACAGTAGAAAAAAGTACTTTAGTAAAGAGACAAACCTGAAGTGTACAGGTGCGTAGCTTCGAAAAATGACCTGGGTCTTGCTCAGATTTACTTCACTGCCTATCCAATCCACCATTGTCTCAATTGCTCTCCGAAGCGCGCTTTCTACACTCATCTCCATCTTCACTTTCTCTCCTTCCTGAAAGTAACAACCCCTAACAAGTACATGGATCCGAAGGTCAAGTACAATGTTTTGAAGCAGATCATAGCTCCGAAAGAAATACCAAGAACAGACAGTTTCAATAGGGATACAAGATCTAAATAGCCATAACCTTACATTAATAACACATTAGTACGACCTATAAATTTTATAATCGTCACGATCAATTCCTTTTCAATAAAAATAAAAGATAAATTATCTAAGTAGAATAGACCCAAGCATGGAAACAACATGAGATGTTTGGAGCTTCAACACATCATCATATTTAGTAAACTTGGTCTTATAAACACGTCATCTTTCAGTCAATGATGTGTACCTCAAATAATACTTGTTCCAGTTAAAATTTCTAAATTTAAATGATAATTCCATCTTTCCGACAAACAGATCCCCTTCAGTGAAACAGTCAAAATGTAAAAACAATTAACATATGAATGAACTAATCCTAGGTAAAGAATTTCAAAAAGATTAAAATTACCCTCTCATAGTTTTCTCATAATTCCACCAATGCCCGGTGTTGAAAACCAATACATCTGCACCTTTCCACTTCAATGAGCTCCAATCCAATCGATCCAGTCTCAAAGTAGTCTTCACCTTTTCGGGCGCTCTAGCCGGGGCCCGACCCTGCGCCACTAGAAATGGAGCTCTGTAGTACTCAACAGTGCAGTTGAAATCCCTGAACTTGAATGCCAAGAAACCAGTGTGCTTTGTGATTGGGCTACCATTCACTTCAAATATTGAAGTTTTATCAGGAACTGCAGAGGAGAGCATGCAGAGAAGGGACTCCCATTGGTTTCTTCCAATAGAGTCACCAACAAACACAAGCCGGTGGTTTCGCAGCTTTTCCAGCATGTTCTTTGCATCAAATCTGATTTCAAAAGAGATGAACCAAATAAGAAACTTTTTATCTCCCTCCAATCAATCGGATGAAGGCAAAGTTTAAATTACTAAAGAAAACATAGAAAATTTACATAATGCACACTCACTTCATATAAAATTATCACATAAGCAAAATTGTAATTTATCACCCCTCAACTTGAGCGTCATATAAATAAAGCCTCTCACTCATGGAGAAGGGACCTTTGGCTATGAATTCTCAAGCATTCCTTAAGACTCGGTTACAAAGTTCTTTTCAAAACTCTTGTGGTAGATCAACAAGCATTTCATCAATGTGTTAATTTTTCCACATGCTCTGAAGCCACACTCTACATCTCAAGACTCGCAGAGTTTGCTAGTCTAATCTCTTCTTTTCGAAAGACAAAGTTTGAACTTTGTTTGAGATAAAAAAAAATTTAAACCCTTGATCAAACCCTTCTCTTTTGTGTTCTTAATTCGAGGACTTGAAGAAATCCATCAAGTGGTTTGATTGAAAAACATGCTTCTATAGGAATTAAATTGTGAGTATATCAGGAGATCAAATAAGAGGTTCACCATTGTAATAGGTGTAAAACCACAGAGGATTGTATCCATTTTTCTTAAAATCAATAAATTAAACTGTGCATATGTTTTTATGTTTTTTATTACTACACTCAAAATTTGTGTGTAAACTAAACTGGTCCATAATAACTCAAATAGCATTATACTGTTAGGCTCTCAAAATAAAGTATGTACTCATGTGCACCTAGCTAGCGGCGACCCAAGGGCAGGCAGGAACCCCCCAAACTTCTTAAAAAAACTCATTACTTCCATGAAATTTTATTTTTATAATATAAAAAAATATAATTAGCATTTTGACATTCAAAATCTATATAATCTTACTTCAGCCACTCCAAAATCTAGTAATTTCTCCTTCCCCTTGCACAATTCCTTCATCCACTGTTGTGCCTAGCATCAACATTCCATGTATACCTATGTATATACATGCATACATATATAAACATTTATATATAGATATATTTAGCATTTGAAAGCCAGATACTAGGAGTTGAGACCAAAGCCAGAAGTGAGAAATTCATAAGTGAAACACCCAGAAAAATGCACTTAATATCAGAAACACCAAGTATGGCAGTTCAAAAAAAAAACAAAAAATACTAATGTATAGTGTTTGGTTCAGTAGAATTGTCATTCCCTGACCCTATTAAGGTAAATGTTTTGGTCCCCTAATTTTGGACCAGCAAACCAACCCTAGTGATATGACTTTGTGTCATAAGTCACATCACTTGAGAATCCCACTAAAATATAAAAACTATCTACTGAGTGTTTGCCATGTTATTAGAAATTGGTATTGGAGAATCAAAATTGGTGCGAAGTAGCATTATTCTTAGGCTATGTTTAATTGGAATATTTGGAAAGATATTTGTAAAAGAAAATGAAAAAAATAGATGAAATGTGAATAAAATATAATTATATTTTACCAAATTTCACATACTTTTTTTAATTTTATTTCCAAATTCCTACCTAAATTTTCAACTAGACACATTTTTAGGGTGAATAAAAATTCCACTTGTAATATATTTTTTTATTATTATGCTTATTATTTTTACACAAGAATAGACAGTGTGATGAATCATCATTTCATTACACTTTATCCTAGTAAACCAAATCGAGCATAACTGTACAATTGTACTTAGTTCTACTTAACCAAACAGAGCACAACAGTACAAGGCATTCAACCAGAAAGACGGCCTAAATTAGCAATTAAAGAACATACTACTTTTTCAACTTCAACAAAATAATGCATAATCAATGATTAAAATCACATTAAATTAACTAACATACAAAGAGTAATTAATGAAGAAGAAACTCAAAAAACCTCAGCAAAAAACTTACATATATATATATATATACTAGAGTTGAAGGAAAGATCAAAATAAACCTGGGTAAATCGCAATTTTTGGGTTGCCAACGCCATTTTGTGTAGAAACTATCAGGCCTTCCATTCTCAGAGCATCGAAATCCATTGTCTAAGAACAAGCAATCTTCGGATTTATATAAAGGATAACTATCATCCCAAACCCATTCACCATCAAAGACATCACACCCATCACCACCACCCTCTTCGAGAAATCTTGGCCTTCGATTCTCATCCAACGACCCATTGATACCAGACCACTCTATCAAGCTGGGTGGGTCTACACGGGAACGAAACTCTGTGGTCACAGCTCTGTAATCCAAGTAAATGAAACAGAGGATGAAGCAAACAGAGACGAAGAAGAAAGCAAGAATGCTGGTTGTGGGGTCAAGAGGGGTCAAGCGCTTTAATTTCTTGAAGAAATCCAAGTGGGTCATTGTGGATGTGTGTTCTCTGACTCAACTGTGGATAAAGATTAATGGGTTGTCCTCAGAAGGGTGTATTCGGATATGGGTTTTTGAGAAGGAAAGAAGAGGAATAGAATTTGGAAAGTGTCATTTGAGTCAAGTTTATATAGAGATGATTGATCGTAGAGAAGTTGGAGAGAGAGAGAGAGACAGAGAGAGAGAGAGAGTTGGAAGATGAGATTGTGTGGGGGATGGAGGGGTGAGAGGTGAGTGGGGTCTGGAGGGAAGAGAAACATTCATTGCAGATAAATGAGTGTAGTTTGAAAAATGTCATATTCTAAATATTTTATTAAATGTATTATATAAATATGATATAAAATTTCACAAACAAAATATTTAGACTATCTCACATTAGTAGTGTATTTTACTTGTTGAAAAAGAAAAAGAAAAGACAAAAAAAAAGAAGAAATTTAAGGAAAGTGCCTGTTTCAAAGAAGCACGAAGAAAGCATTTAAAGCTATGACAGAGAGAGAGAGAGAGAGAGAGAGAGTTGGAAGATGAGATTGTGTGGGGGATGGAGGGGTGAGAGAGAGGTGAGTGGGGTCTGGAGGGAAGAGAAACATTCATTGCAGATAAATGAGTGTAGTTTGAAAAATGTCATATTCTAAATATTTTATTAAATGTATTATATAAATATGATATAAAATTTCACAAACAAAATATTTACTGTTGGTTTGGGGTGTCCTAAAAAAGTGTACTTTTTGATTTATTGTTGGGTTTGGGTTGGGTTTGGGTTGGGTTTGATGTTATGTGTTAGAGAGGTGATGTGATTTAAATAAGATGATATGACTTAAATAAAATAGTGACTTTTTGACTTTTTAACTTATTTAGTACATGCCAAACTAGCCCTTAGACTATCTCACATTAGTAGTGTATTTTACTTGTTGAAAAAGAAAAAGAAAAGACAAAAAAAAGAAGAAGAAATTTAAGGAAAGTGCCTGTTTTAAAGAAGCACCAAGAAAGCATTTAAAGCTATGACCAGCAGTCCATAAATTATCGAGTTATGTTAGGTATCAAATAAATTATTTAATTTTTTATGTGGGCGTAAAATCTATATATATGTGATTTGTGTGGATCTCATATTTATGTGAGATATGTGATAAAAAATTTAATAATTTATTTAAAATTCATAATATTTTTTTAAATTATCTACTCCTTAGATGACTGTGTGATTAATCAGTCGTCATTTTTCTCTTTTTTGTTTTGGGTGCTATGTAAATAAGTAATTCTTTGTTATTGGATGGGCAGCAGAGCACTATTCTGAAAATTTTGAATAATTGTTTTTTTTGTCAGTTGTTTTTTTCACTTGAATAATTGTCTTTTTGTCTTAGAGTTGGTTTTTTCACCTACACTTTCAGAGATAAGCGTTAGTATTTGATTTGATGGAATGCTGCTAGGTTATGAACCTTTATTGATCAATCTTGTCAATTTTTTTCCACCAACCAAACTTATCTATTAATGAGGGACCTGGTAAGTCTTAGCTAAACTACCCGTAGAAATTTTGAGAGTTAGGTAACTATCATAATTATCATTCATAATTAAATATATATATATATATATATAATTAATTAATGACAAAGTTAGCACAACTTTCTTCATAAGTTTGAACTCAAATTTTTCTTCAAAAATCTAAAAAGTACAATCCTTGTGCGTCAATATTCAATTCCATATCATTTTGTGATATTTTTTCTAAGTGTTGGATTTTTATCAAATTCATTAAGGAGCTCTTGGGACTCACCAAGGTATTAAATTGTTTATTTTGTAATATTTTTATTTTATTGTATTTGTGTCTAAAAAATAAATAATTTATTTTCAAAACATATTTCTTGTTTTCTTTTTTAATTTTTTATATTACAATTATCAGATCGACCTGATTTTTTTTATTTAAAACAAAAATAATGATAAATTTTACAGAGAAGTCTAGCTCGCAATAATGTTAAGTATTAATAAGAAGTCACAAATAATATTAGATTATTTTTTTTATATTTTTTATTGACTCAACTATAAAGCCTTCAAATTGATTAATGATTAATACTCACATCTCATGTGATATCAATGTTTCATTTGATATATATACTCAACCAGCTTTGATTGGTGATTAATTAAAGAAAGATTATAAGCATCTACAAAAATCTTCAACGAGAGAGAGAGAGAGAGAGAGATTTGGGGATCATGTGTGACAGCGTGACTCGTGTGGTCCGGTTGTGGGCTTAGTGGTGGTGGTGGGGTTTGGAGGCGGGCTAAGACTGTGTGGACCAAGAAGGTGTATAGATAACTATTTTTTTATTTTTATTTTTTAAATTAGTAAGGCTAGGAATCAAAAATTTAAACACAGAAAATTTTTGAGAAAAATAATATGTGATCTTGATTAAGGCCTCGTTTGGCAAGAGGCTATTTTAACTAATTAGTCAAAAAGTTACTAAATTAGTCAAAAAGCCAACAACTCATACTAAAAAGTCAAAGATTCTCTTTTATCTCTACTTTTTGCACATCTTTTCGTAATTAGCCAAAAAGTCATCCCAAACATACAAGTTTTTTTTACCTACTTTTTTAGCTAAATAGCCAAAAAGTTACTAAATTAACCTGTTCCCAAACGAGGCCTTAAAATAAATTTAAATCATACATTATTTTTTTGATAATTTTTTGAGTTTAAGCTTTTGATTTTTAGTATTACTCTTTAAAAATTATAAACAAGACAGTCATCATCCGTGACTTTCAGTAACACTCTAACCACAACTCTGGCTAACTTTTGGTGATTGGACAACCACCACCCGTAATCTCCAGCAATAGTCTGATCACCAACTCTTGTAGTCACTGTCAATCCATCCACTAACTCACTAAATATTTGTATTCACAAAACATGGTTATTGGTTTTTCATACAGAAATTAAATGAAAAAGAGATTTTTTTTTTTAGGGGAGGGAGTTACTGCCCAGTGAGGGCAGAGAAACATATTTACAAATTAGTGGTAAAATTTATACACTTTAATAATTAAAGTATTATATTTTTTCATGTTTTGATAATTCTTTTTCCTACCCCTACTAGGCAATAATTCCCCATTTTTTTTCCTAGATCGACTGATAAAACAATTCTAATCCTAGTGCAAGTCCTCCTAAACATGGTAAACAACTCTGACTTCCATAGTGAAATTTCACTATCCAACATCAGGTAAAAAAAAAATATTTGAGCACTAAAAATTCTAAAATTTAGGATCAATTATAAAAATAAAAATAAGTTCATAATTTCAAATTTAAGACTAAAAAGTTCAAATTGAAGATTTCAAAATGACAAATTTTAATTTTTTATTTGTATAAAGAAATTTCTCCGACTTTACAGTATGCAAACATCTTTCTCATCCAATGAACTTTTACTGTGAAATAGTGAAATTTACTATGGTAATGAAATTTCACCCTAAGACAACGAGTGAAAATTCACTGCAAGAATTTTGCATCTGCAGATTTTACATTTTTTCATCAACCAAATAAATTTTGGCGGCCTCCACCAATAAGAAGATTTGAAGAGTATAAGAAGTCAATAATTGAGGGATTGAGTTTGAGTTTTGAACTACCAAATACAAAAATACAAGAAAGAATAAGACAACCAACGTATGTGCCAATAACGTCGTGAAAACGTGCTTGTCTTACCCTCATATCTCTCTTTATGTGATAGTGATCTATGTAGCTATCTCTGAAGACGGTAAAAAAAGTCAGAAATTCAAGATTCGAGTATAGAATGACTATGATCCATTCATTGTAATCCAACTTACTAACTTCCTAATATTATTATCGTGCAATAATAATAATAACAATAATAATAATAATAATAGAATCATAGAATGATAATATATCAAAAACATGATTAATAAAATTAATACAAACATGATGTTAGGGATTCATGCTTCATGAGGCTAATTAATTTATCAGATTAATCTACCATTCACCAACCGATCGAAAAAGGAAGTATCGAGAAAGAGTGATTTTCCTTTCAAATTTAGGCTCTACACAAAAAGGGTGACAAGCCATATACCTACCACAATCTAGACTGCTCCTACTATTAATCTTGCTCTGTGATTTTTACAATGTTCTCAAATCAAATTTAAAAAACTAAAGATTGCTTAATTTTGTTTTCTGACCAAAATTGAATTTTACATCAAAAGACAGCAACAGCCACTGAGAGTTTGGTCAGAAAAGAGAGCAAATATTTCACAAAAAGTAGTAACAGAATGTGACGAATGCTGCAATGCCGCTCAAAATACAAAGCCTATCGAACCTGCTTTCATTTCTGATATTCTCTTCCTTCAACTGGCTCTGCACTTTCGAGTACAGATGGTACGACACCACAAGAATTAACACTTTTGCCGACCAAAAAATTGGTCGCTAAAAGCCCATTTTTGGTCGGCAAAAGTTATCCGCGACCAATTTTTTTGGTCGCTACTTTGGTCGCCAATTGAGGGTCGGCAAAAGTAATTCGCGACCAAAATTTTGGTTGGTCGGGAAAAGTCGGATTTGCCGACTAAATTTTTGGTCGCTAAATATATCATTACCGCGACTAATTCATTTAGTCGCTAAAACACTTTGGTCGCGAAAAGTGATATTTTCCCGACCAAATATCTTAGTCGCCAATTGACACATTTCGCGACCAAAAAGTTTGGTCGCCAATTATCACATTCAACGACCAAAAAGTTTGGTCGCCAATTGTGACATTCCACGACCAAAAAATTTTTGTCGCCAATTGTGACATTCCGCGACCAAAAAATTTGGTCGCCAATTGTCACATTCTGCGACCAAATTGTTTGGTCGCCAATTGTCACATTCCGCGACCAAACATGTTTTGCGCAACTAAAACTTTAGTCGGCAATAGACCTATTCGCGACCAAATCCTTTGGTTGCCAAAATTAATAATTTTAACGACTAATTATTTAGTCGCCAAATGTGCTTGGTGATACACCGACTACTTTATTTAGTCGACAAAAGTATAACTTACTGAGGCACGAGTGCCCTTACTAGTTTTGGGGCTTTGATTAGCAAAAGCTATTGGGAATTTGGGACAAAAGTACAACATTTCACACTCTCAGTTGTCATGGAATGCAAAAGATCAGAACATTTCCCCATCAATCACAAACATTTCCCCACAACTTTATTTCTTTACAATTGTGTCAAGTACAAAGAGAGATAGACACAGAGAGGGAACAGAATCAACTTAACCTTCCCTACCAAAAAAATAGCAAGACTGTCTGCAAGATAACAAGGTAAAAGCTACATATTAAACTTTACATTCCCAATATATCCATTCATGCAGCAGTGGCATGAAAGTTACCCTTAGATGGCTTTGCACATTCGCTTTCTTCTTAAACCATTCTCTGATTCTCCTACTTAATGTATTGGGAAAGCCACTTAAAGCCATCACCATATCCCATCTTGCGCACGATACTGCACATGAAGACCTCAATAGGACGGACATTTGAGTCAGCGAGGTCAACATTACCCTTATCGGTAGTAACACCAGTCAAACCCAAGTAATATCTCAACTCATCCTCTGAGACAGCATAGGGTATGTCAATCTTGTTCCCAAGTATGAGAAACGGGACATTTGCAAGTGAATCGTCTGAGAGGAGGGCATCCAGCTCCTTTTTAGCCTCTGCAAATCTCTCTTTGTCGTATGCATCAACAAGGCAAACTACAGAATCCACTTGCATGATGATCAAAAATTATATACTATTTGTGAACAAGGCACGAAAAGGACAAGGCATGAAAATGACAAGGCACAAAAATTATATACCATTCCATCCCATTGAGGTTCATTAATAAGCAAAGCAGATGAAACAGATGCAGCAAGATCGACCAGAGACCTTGGTTTAAACACCTAAGAATGGAAATGCATTGTGAGATGAATAAATGAATCAACAAAGTGGTCCGTTGTCACAAACCAATCCATGTCATGTTAAAAGGGAGACTATATACAGGAAAGGTGGCAATCTAAAATACGATGGTATAATGATTGCTCCACATCCTCATCATCATCTTCTCATCATTGTTTTTATTATAATACACATCATCAAAATCTGTTTTGGTTTTCCATTAAACAAGAATGATACCTTTAGAATGGGTCTTGTTGGCTTCTCATAACTCATAAAATCATCACTGATGCTGGTCCACCATTCTGCAGAGCATGCTCAGCATTAACACATATCTCTGCAAGTCTCATAGGTCGATCGATGCAGCTTTCAAAGTTTCCGGGTAAAGAATTAGTTCTTGACATGGAAACAGTATTTACTTTAGCTGAAGGGGGCTTCCTCGGAGATGCATCTGAACCTAAGCTGCCAGCATATAACAACTGGGTAAGGGCTCAAAAGAATTCAAAGGATTTGAAGACAAAGGCATTTACATATACACAAAGATACAACTATTAGAGTTCACTTCTTCAACAATTAGAGGGGAAAAAAAGGAGGGGGGAAGGTTGTTATCAGCAACTAGTATGCTTGCTTCCAAAGCAAATTAAAGCAGTTCAGTACATTTTAAGTCAAAACACTGGAACCAACCAACAAGATTGTATTTCCCCCTCCAAGAAATTATGCATTTCTTTGAACAGCATGTAACAATATATTGCATTCAATTACTAAATTTCCATTACCCATCAATAAAAGCTGAGCGACCATCAAATAATTCAAACACATTCCCAGCAGAAAGAGAAGCCCTTTGGCGATTAGCTTCACGCAGAAGTAAAGATGGTTCAAGAGGTAATGGCTTCCTCTGAATACCAAAGTGCTTAACCCTTGGTGTTGTTTGAAGAATCATCTGCATGGATTCAAGGAATACATAAACAATAACATTTTTCAATGAGAATGAAATTAGGATCAGTAACAACTATAATTACGATAATTTTGAGAAGGATTACTTAAACCGCATTATTGACATGTTAACTGAGGTGAGGAATGGCATGTTGTGTCTCAGAAAAAGTGCCCACAAAGACATAGTCTATTTTAGTGAAACATTTAATCCTAACCCTCAACTTGAGCCACATTACCATAACAATTTAATGCAAGGACACAAGCACTGCTCAGGTAAGTAGTACAAATTTCCAAAAACTGATTGTTTTTTTTTTTTTGAACAAGGTTTTTTTTTATTTTTTGACAACCTGGCCCTTACAATCCTCCAGCTCTAGATATCATCTAAGATCCATATTGGTGACTGATGTATGTAATTGAACTGCGACAACAATAAATTTGACTATCCCACAGTTGTTCAGTTATTTCTTCCAATAATCCAGAGTAAAGATGTTGATGATGAAGCTCCTCAGCGCACAGGAGGCATTATTGAAAAAACTAATTTTTACAAAGAAAGTAAAAAACCAGATCATGTTTTCTAGAGTAGCTTTCAATTCTGGCCCAATTAAAATTGGCCGCTTTGTTAGGATGTCACTGAGGCCATCATACCGAGCCATCAAATGATTTTTGAGTTATGAATAAAATTTTCTTTCATCCTAAAATGTAATTAACTTTATTTGACTTCAGTTAAGACTCATTCTAAACAACCAGCAAACCAGTTGACTCACTTATAACAAAAGAAGCAGAGTATCAATTGAAGTATCCTCGAAATAACCAGTACAAGGTTGGTTTATTTAATTTATATCAGTGCTCAAATTTACAAGCTTTTTCCTAGTTACATGTCAATAATACCAAATTAAAAACCTCACCTTTTCCTTCTCAAACACCTCAGATGAAGCATCAGGTGGAACTAAAGGCCAAACTGCGGGCTTAGGCCAAGGTAGCATGCTGAGTGAAGCACTGCACAAAAGAAAAATATATTAGAGAGAGAGTTGGAGGACCACAGTGCAACATCAAAGGAACTCTTTGGCAATGCTGACTACTACTTTCAAATAGGATTGGTATGCTAAAAAGTTGTGTTTCTACCTGTTGACAGGACTTCTTTCTATATCTGATCCATAACCAATTAGTTATGCAAGCCTCATGAACTACCACATGGGGAATTACATTGCAATAAGCAATAATTTTGGTATTAAATTTGTAGAAACAAGTGAACAAATGCATGGCTATTCTTTTTTTTCTTAATAAAAAAAATGCTTGTTAATTGTCACAGGGAAACCATTGAGAAATAAAAATAGAATGAAACATATCATCGCATCTATATGTCAGCAAAAAACATGCCTGGACAACTATTTTTTCCCTCAAACTCCATTCTCGGTTGAAATAACAAATGTTGATTACTTCCACTCACCAAGTTACATAGTATAGTATGCAAACACTGCACTATATCACACTAAGTATATGGAGTTTGGAAGTCACTTGCAATGCGTGTAAACTTTACCTTAATCCGGCATAGTGAATAAAGATCACCTTGAAGGCGATAAAACTCTGTTTCTATATCAGGTGCCACTTGTCCATCACTATAATGAGAAGCAATTGTATTGATTAAAGCCAAGCAAGCAATTATCACCCAAACTTCACGCATACAGAAGGGTAACATACTCTGAAAAGAACACCAAGAAAAGAGAGGTAAAAAGGATAAGAATAAATAACGTTTCAATAATAGCTTAAAAAAAGTACTATTATTACTGTGAGTGAACATTGAACAACATGTCAAATACCTCATGCAGTGCCAATGCCTTTGAAAAGCCGATAATAAATGAATAGCCCCTTGATGCAACCTCAAAGGGACGATTCAACTTGAATAACAGTTGCAAAATTGAGATGTATAATTGCAACAAAGTTAAAACACAATTGCAGAAAACCAAGTACCCTTGAAATGTGGCGAGACAAAACATTTAAAGTTTTGACAAATATAACAACCACTGTAGAAAACTTAAGAAAGTATGGCTCCAGTGAGGCAATTAGTATAGATATTACAAATTAAGTTTAACAATAAAATGTAGAATTAAGTTAACTATGATATACTGAGCACGTACTAAAGCAAGTTCAAGCAGTGCATCCCAATTTCCAATATGCAAGAAGAATAATATAAGTGTTACTGATAAATGAAAGACTCAATGCTACGAAAAATTTTACATGCCATAAATTGAACATGATTGAGGAAAACAAATAATGCAATAACTTCTGGTATGAAAAAAAAAAACATAATTTTCCATTATGTATAACTTCTCCTGTTATTATCTAAAACCAACCTAAGTTAATCCTACTTCTTTGTCTTGCTCACCTTTGCTTGGCTGGCAAAAAAATACTGTCTAAATTCAAATTTTCTAAATGAATCATCTTCAGTAATCTGTGTTAATGGTTTGTTCCCGGGGTTTAGCACTGCAGCTTGATCATCTCCATGGTCCATTCCTCCAAAGTCCCAATGTTTCCCTCACATAACTGCATTACATGAAAAAAGTAAACACATACGGAAATTGACATATATTTTTTAAATTGGCAACACTAATGAAACACATAAATTGACAGCTACTTTAATATTGTCATCACTAATGAAATACAAAGAATGAATTAATTTTGTGAATCAAGAGAAGACAACAATGACTGAGAAAACACAATACAAATATAGCTAGAGAAAGATGTTTGATGAGTACTTATAACTTATAAGAACATAGAGATTCAAATTTCGTAGAGTAAGGCCACTAAGGGACTTCAAGTCTTCGAGACAGAGTGCTAAACAACAATCTACATACCCTAAGGAAATTGACAGTTGTTTAGTAGGAGAAACAATCAAGAAGATGAAAATAAGGCCCCAACATGGTCTATTTTTAACATGGAAAAATTATATAATACGGTCTTAAAGAGTGAATAAAGAAAAATTCTTGGAGGGGACAATAGACAAAAACTGAGCATGCTCATTCAACAAAGCCTTATTCAACTACAAGGAATTCACTACACAAAGCCATTTTGTGATTCACTGCCATCCTATAGTATGTCTTAAACCAATTTCTAATGATACTGCCTTGAAAAAAGATGTGTACTAAAATAATAAGCATGAACCGGGGAAATTGAATTCCCAACTATGCTGGACTGGCATCAAGTGTCGTGTCCCTACATACCTGTATCCAATTGAACTTTTCCTGTTATTATGACAAAAATTATAGACTGTTTGTCATATGAATGAGCTGTGATTTGTCCTTTTCGTGCCTTGATAGAGAAAAAAACTAACAGCAATAACAATAACAGGATGGAAAAACATTATTGTCCTTTTTTTCTTTTGGGTGTAGGTAGGTGGGTGGGTGGGTGGGCAGTAGGGACATGGGAGGGGGATGGACCAAATTGCATCATAAATAAATAAAAAAATGTTGTTAGTTCATAACACTTTAAAAAATGTAGCTACTTACCTCATTACCATGCAAATCAACCAGTGTTTTCAACTCAGCTCTACGGAAAAGTGCTACATGTACATGTCCTAGCAGAAAATATAATAGCTAAAATCACAGAGAATAAGGGTAGCCAAGAAGACTAATTAGAAAGACCAACCAATGAATTTGCTTAACTAATGCAATGCAATAGTGCTGAGCAAACACAAGTACCTTGCTTATTGGATATGCTACAGGAAAACAAATCCAAACAAGAACGCAGACAAATGGGGCTACAACTGCACCAATAGCCAACCCATATCTAGAACAAACAGATTGTTGTATAATCTGTTCATACAGACTAGTAGTAATTAGCGCATGCAAATTCACCATGCTGATTTAACCAGGAAAATTGAAACATCATGATGCGAAAAATAAATTTGAGTTTTCTAAAAGCACTTCTTCAGAAAATGTATCCATGCTACAAGAACATAACTCAAGTTTTCTAATAAGCACTTTTTCTAATGGGCAGACACATTCCCACCTTAATTGCCCATGTCGCAAATTACAGGGATAAGAAATCAGTTTTACGTGGGTAAAATCGGGCACGAATACCCTAATAAACCATAAATTGCACTGCAAATTCAAGCAGCTGTCCACCTGCTCCAAATTTTATAGCTCTCTTCTAAAGAAATGTTACCTAAGATAAATCCCTCACCTCTCCAAACAGAAGTATCAATGTAACTAAAATCAGGATGGCACCCCAAGCAGTGATCAAACTATACAGAAATATGGGAAGTGCCTGAGGAAAAGAACATCTAAAAACATCAAGTACTTCACATTATATGTTACTAAAAATAGCTTGGTTCAACATGTCATAATATATGTACCTCCATGGCAGCAGCATTACATATAAGCAGCAGCAATGCATATAAGCAGCAGCATTGCATATAACCACAATAATTACGAATCTGACACAGTTCACCCAGAAATCCAAAGTAGGTTTCCTCAATGAAAACTTGAAGGGACAAATATAGTCCAAGAGACAAATAGTAGTGCAGATAATAAAATACCAAAATTGACAACACATACAAAAACACCGAGTACCCTAAATTTATCCCTCCTGTGATCTTGAACATACAAACCTTATAGTACTTAATGGACCAACCGCTGGCATTGCCTCCCAAGCTCTCCTTCCAAGATTCACACTCCGACATGGAATAAAACGCTAGAACTTTCTCATTTCTGTGAGTAGCCTGTGCAACAATAAATACCAGTTATTATAAACTTCACTTTCAGTTCCACTAGACAGTAATGGAAGTAAGATTGGACAGGGATTAGCATTCTTATTCCTTCCAAGATTCATACTCCGAATTGTCAAAGTCCCTTTGGTTTGAGAATCAAAAGCTGGGTTGTCAATAAGAGCATTGACAAAAACCCATAAATGGTTCTTCACTGCGTGGGCTTTGAGATTAGCATTCTTATTCTTTTTATTAACAATACTCATTACATAGTTTGTAATCTGGTTGGTAACATAATCAACATGAGTCCCACCTTTAATTGTCGCAATCAAATTTACAAAGTTGACCTGGAAAGTCATCAACTCATCAAAATTTAACATTAAGTTTCATCAATACAGCCGCTGAGAGAAAACCATTTACCTATAACCAACTATTTAGGATGCAACTAAAAACTATAAGAATCACAGACAGACAAATAAACTATAAGAATTTACTCATTTAAAATAGACAATTTTTCACTAGTATTTTCCAGTAATCATTGAAATTTACTTGAATTCTAATGCCTTTCTTTTGGAAATCTTCCAATGATTTGGACTTTTGGGAAACCTATTCTTATTGCTGTTTTCTTATTTTCTTTTAGGATATCTGGTTTTCCCACTTCATCGACATCATTACACACACAATGCAATTCAACTTGCCATGAACTTTAAAATGGAAAAGAAAGGTGATAAAGGAGTAACTAGTGACCTACGTCGTTAACTTAATTGGCAGCAAGAGAAAATTCATTGGTTTTGGAAAATTCCCTAAGGAAAATTCATTGCAACTTCCCTAAGGTTCTAACAATACATTGCTTTTGGAAAATTCATATCAAAACAGTTTTGAAAACCTCTTATTAGCGATCTAGAAATTCCAGCAATAATTTCAAGCAACCAAACACTTTCAAAACCAGCCAATTCAAACAATTGCCCTTCCATATAGCCCTAGATTTTACAAGCTTTCCTTAATCATCACTATTCCTAATTCATAAAACTACCTACCATACCTGTGTGTACAGGCAATTGAATCAACAATTTTGGATCAACACAACACAGATGGCTATAATAGCTGAAATCACAGTAGAAACAGTAAGAGTTGAGAGAGATTGTTCCAAGAGGTTCAAACACCTCTATTGTTTCAGATATAGCAATCAACGTTAAATTTTCTATTCATTACATATCTCATCAACAATAGTATTTGGAGAATTCCATCTCATTCTGCTAATCTATTTTTAAGCATTTTTTATAATATGCACATATATGTCATCCTGTTGTGAACGGCCTCCAATTGCACCCAAATATTAACTTCAATTCTCAATATCTGAAGCAAGAACAGGCTCAGGTTCAAGAACACTGAAGCATTATGTCTATGAAAAATTGAAGTTTGGACTATCTATGCATTTAGATATGTAAACTTTTGTTATATTCACATACTAAAATAAAAATA